TTTTAAAATTTTTTTTAAATTTAAATTTTTCTTACCTGGATACTTTTTTTGTTCCCCCCGGGATTCTTTTGGGTTTATGGGTTTTAAATCACATAACTTACAAAATATTTTTGGAACTTTTTGCTATATGCTGATACTTTTCTTTTGCTTTTTACATCCCATATAACGTTTTAACTTTAGGCTTCCGGTAATTTGACCTTTTTCTTCTTTTTTTCCCTCCTTCCTCTTTCCCTTTTAAATTTTTCAGGTTAAATCATAAAGTCCAAACAAATATTCAATCTCACTCCCTCCAACTATGAAAAGTACAACATATTAGTATTTAGCCTCTTCTTTTCTTCCGAACCTCCTCGGGTGACTCCCTCCTTTACTTGTTGCTTTGCCCAGGACCCCACATGTAGCTTCTTAATACATCCTGACATCTACTTCTCATTTATAAGTTAACTGTATTAATTAAGATGTCAAAAGGCAGGTGTCATTACTCATTGGGGTCGCTGGTCTCTTCGATTGTAAGGGGGGGCCACCATCCATGGGGGGCTGACTGACTTCTAATGGTTTTCTCTGCTGTCTCCGCTCCTCCACTGTGCACAGAGCGCTCACTGCCGGAGCTGTATCTTTCACTTTTCCTGAGCCTAGAGGATCGGTCTCCTCTCCTTTCCGATGGTCAGCATGCAGTGGCTCCCAGGATGCACCCTTTCGGTCACGTGGATGCACCCAGAGTCTTCTGCTCCAATAACCTCATCCAGCTGAGCGGAGCCGCAGCCAGCTTCGACCACTACTTTCTCTTCCCCGGTCAGCAGTCAGCACATCCAGAGCCCACACAGGATGTCAGGAATGGACTGGCCAGCAATGGTGGGACTCACCTGCCTTATGACTGCAGTACCAGGGCTGGCCAGCGGGTGCTGCCAGCAATCAGAGACTCAACCTTGCAGCCAGTCAAACACCTGGAACTGATTATACTGGTGTATTTAAGGGATGGCCAGACCTGCAGACTCTGCCTTGGTGTGTGTTTCTCCTGGGCCCTGTATCCTGTTCCTGCTCCCTGTTCCTGTTCCTGTCTGATTCGTTGCTGACCCTGCTCTGATCCCTGGCTTTGTCTGACCATTCTCCTGCTCCTGATCCCTGGCTTGTCTGACCATTCTCCTCTGCCTGACCCTCTGTACCACGCTGCCCGCTACCTGCTGAACCTGGCTTGTGACCCCGACCATTCTCCGCTTGCTCCCCCTGTACCTACCTGCCCGATTGATATTGACCCGGCCTGCCTGACGACGCTTGCATTGTATGTACTGTCATCTGTGGGTGGTTGGTTTGGTTTGTTTGCACTGTGTTATGTTTTAGTATTGCACTGCGTTTATGTTTGTATTGTTAGTGTTAATAAATTATATTGTTTATAACATATCTGAAGTCTGCGTTTCCCTGCGTCAGTCACACACCTCTGGTCATACCCGGGAGCCCTGACATTACACCAAGGCCAATCCTGACCAGAAGTGGCTGCACAGGGAAGCCATCTTGGTTTGTTGATGGGAAGGATGGATCTTGATGAGGTTATGTATTTATATCTGCTAGTGTTTGATGACAGAGAGTATGCTTATCAGACTCTGAAGGAGTATCCCAGGGATGAACTGCTAGAATGTATACGGATCGCTCATGTTCTAGTAGATCAGGGCACAGAATTCTCTGAGGTGCAGCCATTGATTCAGATTTGTGCGGAGTTGGTTTCATCTGGTACCCCGAATGCAGGGATGAATTTTTGCCGCCATTTAGTGCCGACCAGGTAGAGTCCCTGGTATGGTTATTAGAGGATGATGTGGATTACTTTCTGGAGCGTTATTCTGCACGTTCACCACAGATTCTAAGAGATTGTATAAACTCAGTGCAGTCTTTGGTCAGACAGGCTTTGTGTAAGCTCAGCTTTGTTCAACCCATACTGCAGACATGGACAGATTTGTTGCACCCAGCCTCAGTCAGCTTACAAAAACCCAGTCCTGCTTCTAATCTATTTCCTCAAAGCTCTATTCCTGCATTCCCAACAGCTCCTCCTGCCCTGCTATCTACCGCATGTCAGTACCCTGTTCCCACTCGCTGCACCTATCCTGCCTTTAACCCTGTAAAAAAAAACCCTCTGTAGCAACTGTTCCCTCCTCTGTTCCATCCTCCAGCTCTTCTCTGTCTCCAGCTGCTCCATTCGTTTGCAGACCTGCGTTTACTTGCAGTGCTCCAGTAGTTAAAACCAGAAAAAAGCGAAAATTCTTTCCAACCAGTACCATCCCTGCCAGTATCCAAACCGTTGAGCCTGCTGTCTGAGAACCTGCCTTCCGTGGTTCAGCCTGGTGCCTCGGCACCCGCACTTCAGCCTGAGGCCTGTACCCAGCCTGATGCCTGTACCCAGCCTGATGCCTGTACCCAGCCTGATGCCTCTATTCAGCCTGATGCCTCTATTCAGCCTGATGCCTCTATTCAGCCTGATGCCTCTACTCAGCCTGATGCCTCTACTCAGCCTGATGCCTCTCTTCAGCCTGATGCCTCTCTTCAGCCTGATGCCTTTACTCAGCCTGATGCCTCTACTCAGCCTGATGCCTCTACTCAGCCTGATGCCTCTCTTCAGCCTGATGCCTCTACTCAGCCTGATGCCTCCACTCAGCCTGATGCCTCTACCCAGCATGATGAACTGATCCAGCCTGATGTCCTATTAGACCAGTTGACTCGATGCCCGTTGTTGATCCAGATGATCCGGTACCTGATCCGGTGCCCGCTGTCGTGCCAATTGACTCAGAGCCCGCTGTCTTACCTGGCGACTCGGTGCCCACTGCCTTGCCAGATGACGCGGTGCCCGCTGGCGAGTCAAATAACCTGATGCCTGGTGACCCAGTGCCCGCTGTCATACCTGGTGACCCGATGCCCGCTGTCGAGCCAGACGATCCAATGCCTGGTGACCCGGTGCCCACTGCCTTGCCAGATGACGCGGTGCCCGCTGGCAAGCCAAATGACCTGATGCCTGGTGACCCAGTGCCCGCTGTCATACCTGGTGACCCGATGCCCGCTGTCGAGCCAGACAATCCGGTACCTGATGACCCGGTGCCCGCTGTCGTGCCAATTGACTCAGAGCCCACTGTCGTGCCTGGTGACTTGGTGCCCACTGTGTTGCCGGATGAAGACGCGGTGCCCGCTGTTGAGCCAAATGACCTGATGCCTGGTGACCCGATGCCCCTGTCCAGCCAGACGATCCAATGTCTGACCCAGTGCACGCAGTCATACCAGTTGACTCGGAGCCCACTGCCTTGCCAGATGACGCGGCGCCCGCTGTCGAGCCAAATGACCTGATGCCTGGTGACCCGATGCCCGCTGTCCAGCCAGACGATCCAATGTCTGACCCAGTGCCAGCGGTCATGCCAGTTGACTCGGAGCCCACTGTCGTGCCTGGTGACTCGGTGCCCGCCGCTCCGCCTGGGGGCCCAAGACCTGTCGCTCCGCCTGGGGGTCCGGCGCCCACCGCTCCGCCTGGGGGTCCGTCGCCCGCCGCTCCACCTGGGGGCCTGAGACCTGTCGCTCCGCCTGGGGGCCTGAGACCTGTCGCTCCGCCTGGGGGCCTGAGACCTGTCGCTCCGCCTGGGGGACTGGCGCCCGCCGCTCTGCCTGGGGGCCCGATGCTGTCGCCCCGCCTGGGGGCCCGATGCCTGGCGTCCCGCCTGGGGGCCCGGTGCCTGTCGCCCCGCCTGGGGGCCCGGTGCCTGTCGCCCCGCCCGGGGCCCGGTGCCTGCTGCTCTGCCCGATAACCCGGTGCCTACTGCAACGCCCGGTGGCCCGGTGCCTGCTGCTCCGCCTGGTGGCCCGGTGCCTGCTGCTTCGCCTGGTAATCCAATGTGCCTCTGCCCGGAGTCCAGTCTGATGTGCCTCTGCCCAGAGTCCAGCCCGATGTGCCTCTGCCCGGAGTCCAGCCCGATGTGCCTCTGCCCGGAGTCCAGCCCGATGTGCCTCTGCCCGGAGTCCAGCCCGATGTGCCTCTGCCCGGAGTCCAGCCCGATGTGCCTCTGCCCGGAGTCCAGCCCGATGTGCCTCTGCCCGGAGTGCAGCCCGATGTGCCTCTGCCCGGTGTGCCCCTGCCCGGTGTGCCGCTGCCCCGGAGTCCAGCCCGATGTGCCTCTGCCGGAGTCCAGCCCGATGTGCCTCTGCCCGGAGTCCAGCCCAAGGTGCCTCTGCCTGGTGTACCTCTGCCCGGAGTCCTGCCCGGTGTGCCAGTCTTTGATATCCCGCCAGTTACCAGACCCGGGCGGTGGAACATTTTGCCCAGCTAGGACTGTTTGGAGCGTCCTGAGGCCGCTCCTTAAGGGGGGGTACTGTCAGGAATGGACTGGCCAGCAATGGTGGGACTCACCTGCCTTATGAGCTGCAGTACCAGGGCTGGCCAGCGGGTGCTCCCAGCAATCAGAGACTCAACCTTGCAGCCAGTCAAACACCTGGAACTGATTATACTGGTGTATTTAAGGGATGGCCAGACCTGCAGACTCTGCCTTGGTGTGTGTTTCTCCCTGGGCCCTGTATCCTGTTCCTGCTCCCTGTTCCTGTTCCTGTCTGATTCGTTGCTGACCCTGCTCTGATCCCTGGCTTTGTCTGACCATTCTCCTGCTCCTGATCCCTGGCTTGTCTGACCATTCTCCTCTGCCTGACCCTCTGTACCACGCTGCCCGCTACCTGCTGAACCTGGCTTGTGACCCCGACCATTCTCCGCTTGCTCCCCCTGTACCTACCTGCCCGATTGATATTGACCCGGCCTGCCTGACGACGCTTGCATTGTATGTACTGTCATCTGTGGGTGGTTGGTTTGGTTTGTTTGCACTGTGTTATGTTTTAGTATTGCACTGCGTTTATGTTTGTATTGTTAGTGTTAATAAATTATATTGTTTATAACATATCTGAAGTCTGCGTTTCCCTGCGTCAGTCACACACCTCTGGTCATACCCGGGAGCCCTGACACAGGAGGCTGACAAGAGGCAGGTGAGAGGGGATCAAAGAGCTCTCCACAGTTCAGCTGTAGGCATTGGGAGCTCCCATACCTAGCATCCGCCTGGTATCATGTTCCGGCCCCTCCTCACTTCAGGAGATTGCTTCTTCTACGTGCCACTTGACTTTATGTCCAACACTACCCTCTCCTCAGACTGCCAATGCTGTTATCCAAGGGATGGGATTTCCCCATCTCACATATCTAACTGTGTAACATTTGCAGTGGAGATGGGGACCTGTTTCAAGGGAATTTTTCTGTCCATAGGTTAAACTTTCAAGGAAGGAGGCAAGCAGTGGAAATTTCTGTATTTCTTTCGTGATACGTGTAGTTCATCATATGACAAACCTTTGTTATTTAGATTTGGACAGCATAGGTTTTTCCTTTGCCCTCTGGATCCCAGATTTCCCTTCGATTCCTCTCTTGGAGACAAAACAGGAAGTGAATGGAAATTCTTTTTTTAGACAACTGTAAAATACTGGATTTCCTGTCACTATCTGTCCCAGTGACAGTGTTCACCAAAATAAATAGAGAGGGTGAATCACAGACAGCACTTAAAAACCAAAACAAAAGTTTGAACCCTTCCACATTCTATCCAAGGGTGAAATAAGAACCTTGGCTGTAGATAAACATTAATAATAAACTAAATCTATCCATTCAGTCATATCCGACCCTTGGCGATTGCATGGACTGTCACTCGTAAGCGACTTATTCAATGAATTCTCTTTGCAATTATTTTACAGGGTAGGTTGCCAGGTCTTTCCCCAACCCCTACCATGCAGGAAATCTCACATGGCCAGGGATGAAACTAGGACAATTTAGACAGGAGCCAATTAACCTACCAGCATGTCTTTGGAGTGTGGAAGGAAACCAGAGTACCCGGAGGAAACCCACGCGAACATGCAAACTCCATGCAGGAGGTGCCATGGTTGGGAATTGAACCCATGAACCAATTACTGCAAGGCAGAAGTACTAAACCCTAAGCTACTGTGTCGCCCAATAAACTAAATGATACATACCAAATACATGTCCTTATTCCTTGGCTCTACATGTCCTTCCTGCTTTATGTTAGATGGAAATAGCTATTCTGAAACAGATCACATATTGTATAAGCCTTTAACTAGTGGGGTTTTTTATATTGACTTTTCTCCATTAATTTCAGTCCAGCCACAGGTCTACATGACCAGGAAACCTTATAACTCTGACATAGAGGTTATCTGTATGGTGAATGGCTTCTATCCAAAACCAATCAATGTAAGTTTGTGGAAAGAGAACAAAATGGAGGATGTAATGTCAACTGAAACTCTACCCAATGGAGATGGAACTTACCAGATAACAGCGTTGATAACTGTAAATGTTCGAGAACAGCAACGTGTCTACTGCCAAGTGGAGCACAGCAGCTTGAAAGAACCTCTAATAGTATATCTGGGTAAGTAAACTGTAAAGTACTGGAATGTATAAATTTGCCAGAAAAAAATCATAGAAATTATAACATTGGCTAAATATGGGTGTAGGCAGGTACAGGCATTCTTCCCGTCTATAGGCAGAACTGTGCCAATGCTACAAGGGAAAAGGAGTCTGGTGGGAGAGTGTCCCGTTAGTGCTCTCTGGGAAGATAGGCTTCTGGTTTGATGCCAAATTCCCAAAGAGTTCAGGCATCCATCTTAATGAGGAAGCCTTTAAATAAGGGATCCCATGTCATTTGGGCATGTTTTGAACAAGTGGCAGGGTAGGGAAAGACACCCCCTGGTTAGGGACAGTGCTTAGCACAGATAAAGATTCCTGACAAGTAGGGAAAACTGAAGAGCATTCTCAGTATCTCTTGTAGTGAGCAAGTTCAACTGTGGGTATACAAGGAACCGTAACCCCTCCAACAGAGGCAATCCTCTGGTAACCTTACCGTGAAGTCACACTGCAGATGTTTTACCAAAACTGATACATTGTCCAGTGTGTGCTAATATTATCTTATTGTGATCACTATAAGACTATAAGACTAAATAAAGGCCCTTTGTGTGTGGCTCCTCCCGAGCAGGTACCTTGTCTTGTACAGTGGCTGTTAAATTCACAAGAAAAGAGTTGACAGTTTGATAATCTATTTCACCGGTGTCATACTGGCGTTCCTCCAGCTGTTGCCAAACTACAAGTCCCATGAAGCATTGCAAGATTGACAGTTACAAGCATGATTCCCAAAGGCAGAGGCATGAAGGGACTTGTAGTTTCGCAACAGCTGGAGGGCCACCAGTTTGACACCACTGATCTATTTCTTCTGAAATAGCAGGAGGGTCTGGGCTCAGTGAAGCTAGTATTTTTTGGTTATGTAAAGGAGCAGAGGATGTACAGATAGAGTGGCACAATTAGCAAGATTGCTGACAGCTTGCAGAGGAGAGGGGTAGCAGAGGCTATGCAGCCTCCATGTGCACTATCCATCATGCTCCCTCTCCTCTGAGCTTTCACTCAGAACTGCCATCTCCATCATTTACTGTGGTCAGATGGTAGGGGAAGGGCGGAGAAGCCAGCTATCCAGCAATGCTGCTCAGGAACTACAGCATAGGTTTAAATTAGGACAAGTGCTATGTGAGCAGGTTCCCCTGGGGGATTTAACAAACCTTTTATACTTGTTGCGATACTTCTTTAAAGTTTATGAGATTTTAGTGATTGGGTTCACATACCTTAAGCGGACTTCATGTAATATTTTCTATTTAACGGTAGCGGTTGCTCTCATTTGGCTCGGCATTACATTTTAACATTTTTTTAACTTGTTTTATCACCTCTGCAGATAAGGAACATCACACCCCGATCCGACAGGTTATAGGAATAACAGTTTCTGTGGTGTGTGTGGTTGGACTGGTGTGCTTTGTAAAGTTGTATAAAAAGCGCAGGTAAGACATCATCATCAAGAGATATAAATGTATTATGGTGGAAAACATCCCTTGGAATCCATAATCATTACTAAACACTAGAAGAATGACTTCACAAGATCATCCCCTTAATTTTAATTTTCCACCCAAATTACATTTTTTTAATTATAATTTTATGTGCAAATTACATTTTTCATTCTGTAGTGAATAATATTTTTCTTTCCTTTTAACCATTTCTCTGCCAGGCCCTGTGTTCCACTTTTAAACCCAGCTGGCCAGACTATTTTTCAATATTTCCATTGCTTTTTTATTTCTACCTTACAGCTTTTAGAATTTGTAAAAGACCCCCAAACCATATATTTTCTGAAAGCACATGAACAGTAGAATAAAAAGGTGATGCTGATTTTTAAAGTTCCGCGATATTTGCTCAAATGTTTATCAAAGCAATATTTTCTCTGAAAATACACTAAAATCACTATTAGCAGATAAAAACACAGCAAATTTTATAAAAATTCCTGCTAAATATAAAAATTTTACCTGTATTGAGTTAATAAAAAAAAAAATATTTGTCAATTTTAAATTGCGCCTTTTTGTAACATTTTGGAAATCAAACGTACACAAAAATGTAAATAACCTAATCTCTCTCAAAATCTGAAGGTTTTAAGTTTTTACTTACAGCTTTCAGAAT